CTTGCGCAGGTCCGTGTTGCCAACATTGTTTGAAAATTTTGTGTGAATTGATTGGACGGTTTTTGAAATATTAGAAAAAAGTTATCTTGATAATAATTTGGCACGCAGTGTATATCTGCAAATCCTTCGTTTTGAGTTATTAGGTTAAAGTTTACGGAAGATGCTGTTAAATGTATGATGCAAGATACAATCCAAAAATACTTTTACAAACTTTTTGGGTGGTGGGGGTGCAGATTCCGATCACCAAAACAAGCTAAAATGCCTATATGACTGTGTGTCCAAAAAGCCATCGATGTGCCTCAACACAGCAACTTATAACAAAAGTTCAAAATGTCCTCCGCTTGCTTTCATACACGAATGTCCCCATCGGATCATTTACTGTCGGACATTTTCAAATACTTTCATACGCTGTCGAATCGTTTCACAGATCCTCATGCTATGTCCCTGAAACGTCTCTGCATTATTAATGTCTGCTGGATGAACCAATTGTTTTAAGCGGCCCCGCAGATCTAAGGATTGTGGTTAGGAGAACGTGCGGGCCATAGAAGCGGTCGTCCCCTACCGATACATCTTTCATTGTAGATGTCAGCCAGTGCATCGCGGACTGTGACTAAAATGTGCCCCATCATGCATAAACCACATGCGTTTATGCATTAGAAAGGGTATATACACTAGATTGTCTCGATGTGAGTACGCAATAAAGTCCCGGTAGACTTCTCCTTTAAGACGTGTTTGGAGAACATGTATCTATCAGAGAGTCTCCTACAATTCCAGCAGACACATTAAACGTAAAGTGATGCTGCTTTCTAGCCTGTATTGTACCATGGGGATTCCGATCCGCCTGCAAATTTTGGTTATGTATATTTGTTATTCCATCTTTTTCCAAATGTTGCCTCACCCGTAAACAGGACTGAAGACACAAACAATGGATTGGCAGTTTGTGCAAAAAAACAATCGACAGAAGTTTTCGCGTGGTGAGTGATCAGAAGACGGAAGACACTTCACACATTGCAAATGATATGGATACAGGAGCTGCTCTTGGAGTCCCCTCCATGCGGTATTATGAGATGTACGACGTGCTATGGCCGCTTGACGTGCGCTGGTACCTGGATAGTCACCGCTAGATTTTGGAATGTGTTTTTCGTATGAATGGACCTCGGTCTCCCTCGATAAATTTCCTGTGGTGTCTCAGTAACGCGACGATAATCACCAGCAAACATTGGATGACACGGCTGCCTTCAGTCTGGAAACGCAGTCTGACACAGCCGTGCAGCCTCTTCTCCATTACCATCTGATAGCCGAATGTAATAACATATCTGCCTGCCCAGGATATGAATATCCTGCCATTGTAAAACGGAACATTTCACTACTACACATGTTAAACGTTAAATACAAACAAGCAACAAATGTACACGAATGACAAATATAACTTGGTCAATATGGCAACACGATGCTATCTACCGTAAACTTTGATTAAACTTAAAAGGGAAGGATTTGCGGATCTACGTTTCTATGGACGTTTTTGCTTGTTTTGGTGTGAGCAACCCGCCTCCAAAATCTGTAAAATTATTTTTGATACACCCGTATAAGTATATACGTGTCTAAGGTTCAATGTAGGAGGCAAATGAACAAATACTCTGAAATTCTGATGCAGATAATATCTTGGTTTGTCACAAGATTAAAGTGAAGAGAGAAAGAGAGAGAGAGAAAAAAAAACTATTAGATCTGTTAGAACGACAGATCAGCCTTTTCTTAATCTGACTTACTCTTGTTACACTATTCTCATTGCGAACGGATTATTTCAACAGATAAGACTCTAAGAAGGAAATCGCTCAATTTATTTTTTACAACCAAGCACTTATTACAAACATTTGTTCGTGTCGATTTACCTATTTCTACATATAGTTATACATTGTTACTTGTCTTCCAACTGATATTAAGCCGATTCTTGCCTACTCGAATTACAGTACTCGTCTTTGTTATTGAGACAATCGATTTCCTTAATGCGATCTTTATCCACACTTTCGCTGACACTTTACAGAAGTACTTTATCTCCCAGTAACTTTCCGCTACTTATTGGCATTCTATCATCTCTCGTCAATGCCCAAACACTCCTGATTTATATTCTTTGATAGATATCTTCTAGTGTTTCCATATTTTGATCTTATCAATACTCCAGAGTATTTTTTTTTTACTTTCTATCATCTCATCAACGTTGTCCTTTATCGAGATACATATTAACCATTTCTGGAATATTTTTTTGGTATTCCCATGCCTCGAGGTCTTATAAATCGGCTTGCGTCCTATGCCTAATCGATTCAGATCTCCATTCTGTACATTCTTTTCTTACATTCTGTCTCTGCACCTCGATTTTATTTTTATTTTTCCTTCGTCATTTCACCACCTCCGATGTATAAATTCGTGTTTCTCGCCCTTACAAACCTGTTCCCTCGGCTGAAATAAAAAATTATTTAAAATTGTCTATGAGGAAATTCAACTGATTCGTTTTTTGATAGAATAGTTTGCCGAATCCTGAAGAACAAGCTTTAAGCAAATCTCCTCGTATTTTTCAGGAAGGTTATGGATGCCTAGCTAGCGTTGAGGGAAAAACAGATAGAATATCCGAAAATATATATATATATATATATATATATATATATATATATATATATATATATATATGTATATGTGTGTGTGTGTATATGTGTGTATATATATATATGTGTGTGTGTGTGTGTGTGTGTGTGTGTGTGTGTGTGTGTGTGTGTGTGTGTGCAGATTTTTGGACATTCGATTTGTTTCTTCCTCAGCTTATCTATATCTATCTATCTATCTATCTATCTATATATATATATATATATAAGCAAATTTCAGGTATTTTTCATATAAGCAGAATTTCTGCCAAAATCGCCCATTGGATATCTAGATCTATAATATTAAATAAATCAATAAAATGTTTATATCTCTTATCTGATTTATCGACTTCACGTCGAAAAGCTCGTCGGGGACAGATGTTCGATACGTCTGTTGAAATTAATATCAGAACTCATAAGAGAATAGATGCAGCCTAATGATAATTTAAATAGATTTCACTTGCGCTGATGCGAGTTTCGATGGTAAAATCTTAATTGTTCAATCAGATAACTCATTTAATCATTTATTGATGCATTTACAACACGCACGCACACACACACACACGCATATATATATATATATATATATATATATATATAACATTTATATATATATATATATATATATATATAAATATTATATATATATATAAATGTTGCTTATAGCTGGAAGACTGCACAGACTAATTACTAAATGTTCCGTCAACGTATGTCTGGAGTAAGGTTAATGAATATAACATCAGCCAGAGAAGTGACAATATATATATATATATATATATATATATATATATATATATATATATATATATATAAAAGTATGTTGTAGTGATGACAAGGCACACTGGGGTCTGAACCAGGCTGAATGGCGGAGCCGGCTCGATCTTTCCTTTTCTAGTACCTATATTATTTGTAGGCTACTTCGTCATCGATGCTGGCGGAGCGTGACAGAGCGGTACCATGGTGGATCTACCTGTGTGCAACTGCTAGTCTCTGACTGTTGTCGGTAATGTGTGAATGAATATATAAATATATATATTCATATATATATATATGTAATTATATATATATATATATATATATATATATATATATATATGTATGTATGTATGTATGTATGTATGTATGGTATTAGATAGTCATATAACATCATTCGACAGGAGAAGACAAGTGCGCCTATCGCCTGGTTTACACACGGCCCCTCTTATTTGAACAGGATTGGTGGCTTGTCCCTTGTTTCTGGTTCCATCTAAAGTATATTTATTGTCTTTCAAATTTCTCTAAATCGTGAATGTGACCAGGTGTGTTCCTCTAAATCTTGGGCTGTGGAACTTGAATTTGCCATGTGTAATGTAAGCCTCATTGAAGCCCTATATATGAGAAATAAAAAAAAACACTAAATAATATTAATTATTAGTATAGCAACAATGTTTTAAAATGTCTAAAACAGCAAGTTTTTAAAACTGTAATCTGAAAAAATCAATTATAACAGTAATATATTAAAATGCTTAAATTGTCATGCTTTAAAAATATTTAGAAATATGAATTAAGTTACCTCCCTTGAATGGCCGTAACAGACAGAGCGCGTTCATGCGCATTTACAAAAAATGACAATTGACTATACATAAAGTTTTTCTCTTAGCAATTCACCACTGAAGATGAAATTGGATGTGACTGAAATTACATTTGAAAATAAAAGGAATGAGGAAAACTACGGTGCCTTGCGTTATGAATTTAATAACAACATTAAGAAATTGATTCGAAAATTTGAGAGGATTAATATATATATATATATATATATATATATATATATATATATATATATATATAACGAGTGTAAGAGAAACTTGTCCAAATCATTGTAACACCATGGGATATTTTTTAATCCCACAAAATATTTTTTACATCCCACAAAATATTTAATGTATAAAATGATATACGGTGTTTATTTTTCCCAGTTTTCAGATAAGATGTTTAGCCACCTTGACAACATTTGTCGTAAGAGTCACTGAAAAATCCCTTCTGTTATTCAGCTAGAAATAGAACAGGTTAAAATTCTTTTGTATCAGATCCACTGTCATTCCAAATGAGCAATGTTGCGAGGAAAAATTTTTCAGGTCTTCAGTAAGTGTACTAACATTCATACTCTGGCTTTCATCTTCAAACTCCATTCAAGGACCATCAAGAGAACAGCGAATAAGTTTAAAAAAAAGAATGAACAGTACAGAGGAAAACTGGATCAGGAGGTCACAATAAGAAGAGGGATCATCATTTCAACATTGAGCTAAAGAGATTAATTAGAAAAGATCCAACTCAATCCATAAGACATTTGTCTAATGAAAGAGGAGTTTCAACATTGTAAAAATATGCTTATGACCACATCACGGTTAAAACACCGGTTCCAGCAGGACCGTCGAAGTTAAGCAACCTTGAGTCTGGTCAGTATCTAAATGGGCGACCGCTTGTGAATACCAAGTGCTGTAAACTTCATGTGCGGGTAAGGTAATGTATAATGTCTCGGAATTGCTAATCGGAGATCCGAGTTCTAATTCCCTAGTGATATTCGCTTGTGCGCAAATTTAATTTAGAAAGATAAGAAATCATCACTTCCCCCCAGCTATGGGTTAATTAGTAGAGAATATATCGCTAAACCATCATTATAAAATAATTCTTATAGTGTAAAAATATTTTCTGGTTTTAAATAACCTACAATGGGTTGATAAACCGTAAAAAATAAATCAATCAATCATTTGTAAGAATAATACTTTATTCATGTGAGCTAATTTTACATTAATACATTTTTAGAGATTCACAAAGATTTCTCAACATACAATTCCAGTATTTAACCTGAGGAAGGGACATGAAAGTAAAGAGTATGTTTTAGATAATGCGAAATGTAATTACATTTTACTCATTTTCAAAAAAGAGGTAGATGATATTTCTGTGAGACATTTTAACTCTAATAGAACATTGAAGTAGAGAGGGCCATAAACCTATTTCCCTGATTTAGGAATTTCAATCGACAATAAAGCTTCTCAGACAATGACTTCCGGATGTTTTTTTATAACGGAACATATAACATCCCCATTATTACCTGTGCAGAAATGCAGGTGTATTTTAACAACTGTCACTTAATTACAATGAATTCGATTTTACTTGTTGAACGCTATGGTTTGAGGCTCATTATCTATTAGTTGTCTTGGTTGTAAACTTTATACGCATATAAGTCAAATAACTTGGTTACGTGCTTTACTTTCATTTGATCACGAGTAGCGTTGATAAATCGCTTTAATTAAATTCTTTTGAATTTATGCAATCAACCAATGATGCTGACTAGATTACAGTAGTCACAATACTAAATTTGAGTGTATAACAAAGAAGATATTATCTGAAGTGGAATTGTCTGTTTTGAAACAAACATGCCAAGTCTTTTTTTTTGAACTGGGAGATTACGCTCAATATAGTTACTCGCATAAATCTGTTTATTAAGATAGAAATTGAAAAATAAATGTTAAAATAATCACGAAAAACATATTGAATTCTTCAAGAAGACCGAAATTACTTTAAAAAAATATCGTGGTCATTGCAATCAGTTCGATTCGAACAGTGACAACGACCAATCGGATGAAATATGCAAATGTAACACAAAGGATTCTGTTAAGCTTCATTTGTTGTCTCCCAGTGATTTGACACTAATAAATGGCTTCTGAAATCAGGTCACAAACAATTACTGTCCGGCGGGACACTCACATAATCGGTGGGTGTAACATTTTTTCTTGTTTATCATTATAAACGTATAATCAATTTCTATCATTAATCAGCCTAAATTATTAAACACATCAGATTATTCGCTAAACAGTGTGGCCGTTCCATTTTTCTTTTCATTGTTATGCTTCTTACATCATTACAGCGGAAACGCGTTCCTAGCTCTAATCGTTAGACGACAAGATCAGATGTGGGGTTAGAGAGAACTAGCAGAAATTATGGAGTATAAACTTCTCCAGTTTCAGAAGAAATGCACTGAGAAGGTATTGAGTGTGAAGTTTTATAGCACCCAAAAGATTACCTGGAAAAAGTCTTCAAAGTAAAACTTTATCAAAGGTAATGTATCTAGAAATTAGCTTACATTAGACTTGACAAAGGTAAAGAGCATACAACGTTCTGAATGATATTCTCACCAAATTGGTTCATATTAGATACCGCACTGATCTTTAAATGAATCAGCCAAGTGAATCAATCTTTCACCATCGCTGTCTGTTTCGGACTAATCATATATTTTACTACCTCGGTCTGTATACGTTAAACTAGCTCCCTTCTAATCATTTTATCTCTCTCTTTTCTCCCGCCTCTCGCTTTATATATATATATATATATATATATATATATATATATATATAAGACAGTGTTGATATTTGAGTGTTGACTTTAATGTTCACTTTTATATTCATATTTACATAGGCTCTATCTCTGATATTGAGCACTTTATCCCATAAATATAGCGCACCTGGAAACTATACTAAATATATATATATATAGAGTAATTAATAAACAAAACTTTTAAACGGAATGTTTACTCAAATACGATTTTCCAATAAAAATTAGCGTTTAAGTAATATAAATATGTCGGATTAATGAATAAAAAAAACTATTCACAAAAACACACACACACATATATATATATATATATATATAGCCATCCACAAACTGCTTCGTAGCACCTCAGTGTGGCGAGACGACCGATTGCTTCAAGCTGGCATCGAAATCCGATCAATTTGGCTGCAGTCAGAGATCCTACCTCTCGGCTATCATTGCACGGCAGAGAGAAAGGTAATTTTTCAAAATTTTCTATACGAAATACGCCAATGGCCCGGAGAGATAAATTCAGTTGAAGAACAATGGATTAATAGCAGTAGCAGCCAGTGTTTTTAAAATAACCCTTATCTCAAGTGAGCTCTCTCTCTCTCTCTCTCCTCTATATATATATATATATATATATATATATATATTAAAGAAATTTAATGTCTGAATGTCCGAGAAATTTTACTTAAATACTTGTATCTATAAAAAGAATGTTAAACATAAAATGTCTTTAAAAAATAAATTGTCGGACTTTGTCCATTTCTTAATATATGACGTCACATATATATATACATATATATATATATATATATGTATATAGATGTGTGTGTGTGTGTGTGTGTCTGTGTGTGTGCGTGTGTGTGTGTCTGTATGTATACTAAATTTTAAGGCAAGACTTACTCCTTAAGTCATATAGTTTAAAAACAAGAGACATTTTTGTCGATTAATTTTGATGATGTACAAATGTTGCAGTTAATACAAACGTACACACATACATACATACACACACGCACGCATATATACATATGTGTGTGTGCGTGTGTGTGTGCGTGTGTGTGTGTATGTTTGTGTGTGTGCGTGTCTGTGAGCGTGTAATTTATATATATATATATATATATATATATATATATATATATATATATATAGAAAAATGCTCAATATCAGTGATAGGGCTTATGTTTAGTTGGATTGATGCGAGTTTGTGATCCTACTATGGCACCTTGCATTTATTGGAAATATTCATAGAAATATGAGTTAATTTTTCTTATTCAGTTTATTAAACAGGTTGTTAATTTTTTTCTTTAAAACGGAAAATAACTGGGTTGAAAATAATTCACTAAGAATGTACTAAACGATCCTAAAGCAAGGAAAAAGAAAGAAAGGAAAAAGGAAGAAAGGAAGATAATAACAAAAAGGGGAAAGAAAGGAAAAGACATGATATCAAAACAGGCCGCTGGGTGTGGACCAGATGTCGGTCAGAGCCTCTGACTGACCTTAATTTTTTGTTGAAAGAATAGAATTGGAGATATCGGTCGCGAGCGCTGACCGACATTTTCATCAGAAGAATTCTTATCAAAATAACGAAAGGTAACTTTTAAATTAGAATAATAAAATGAATTTTACTTTAGTCAGAGAAAAGTGTCTTTGGGTTGGGGAAGTGACTGGTGAAAACGATATACGGAATTGACCTGTTAAGAATTGGACACCCACGTTAAGAAAGTAGAGATATTTCGACCTAGATAATTAAGATTCTCGGCTATCAGGAAAACAAAGGGTAAAAAGAAGAGCAATTGTTTTTGGACCACGGAGGGCGCCAGGAAGGCGGAAAAAGATCCTTTCTAAAAGTCAAGACTAATTAGCAGCGGGCTGTTTGACAAAGTCCAGGTGAGAGAGGGCAAGGATTGTCATTTTGCGTACGTGCAAAAAGGTGCGAAATCGGTTTTGTTTTTTTAAAACCAGCACGATGTAACCACACCCGCCAACAAAAGGAGAGGGTGTTCGGTCAATAACAATTGGTCGAATACAATCACGTGACCGCGGAAGAAGAAGGAAAAAACCTCGATCAATAACTGTTGGACGAGGCGGTCACGTGGGCTGCGGAAAAGAAGAGAAAGAAAGGTTCGATCAGGAACGATTGGTTGAGAGCGATCACCTGACATGAGAGAGACTAAGAGAAATAGATATGCGCCGCCCCCAAGAGCACTGTGAGAAAGTAGGGGTGAAAACAATAACGATAATGGAAAGTCAAAATTAATACGGCTTTTGAAATTATCGAAAACCCCTGACGCCGACCGACCCACCCCGGTTTGTTGCGGCGTCAATATAAGCAGGACCCCAGTCGGCAGAAATCAATGATGAAGTTGGTTTGAGCGCGGGCTGCGGCTGAAGTTGAGTTGAAGTTGGAGTTAGGTTGGGCGTGAGTTGCAGTTGGACCTAGGTTGGGCGTGAAGTTGGACCCTCGGACGAGAAGAATCCTCGAAAAAAAGAAATCCTTCCCTAAATTTTGAAGACAAGAAATCTTCCACCGAATTGAAGCCGAAGAAATCTTCCACTGAATCGAAGCAGGAAATCTTCCACTGAATTTTTTTCTTCCACCCGGTTGAAACAAAGAAATCTACCAGTCTAAACAAACGAAGAAGAAGAAATACAGTTCACGTCGAAGAAAGAACCAACTGCGAACGACCGATAGAAATTAGCCCAATGTCGAACTGAACCACACGCCGACATACATACATGATTCTAGAAAGTAGGTAGTTCGACATTTTTTTTTATTTTGTGATAGAAACTTGGTGCCATAGTTCACAGAACAGGTCGGGAATTGAGAACAATTTTGTTTTTTATGTAACGGACTTTAAGATATAAAAGGTGTTACCCTTTTATCAACAATTTTGTTTGGTGTCGTGAGTTTTATTTTATTTGTGTTTTGCCACCCCGTCGGACTCAACTTATCGGCCCCGATCCTGCTGGTCCCGTCTGTCTAAGATCTAAACACAGCGTGGGTAGACAGACCGGAGATCGGTATAGTTGCTTTAGTGACCAGGTATTGGAAGCGAGTCAGGAAGGCGAGGCTGGTGATCATCTGACCAAAGGGTTGGGCAGCACGCTTGGACCCAGGAGGAGCGACC